TCCGACTCGTCGTTTTCTTCATACAGAATTCGAAGGATTTTCCCTCCACCAACAGCTATCAAGAGAGAAACCAGGGAAAGGCCAACATATTTGACTTCTCCACAACAGCTGACTGATCTCAGATGCTGTCTGATGGTTTGCCTTCCAAGAGACAACCCAACCTGGCTTTAGTGAAGGGTGTTTTTTCTAACCATGAGTTCAAGAGCCTTTCTGTTCTAATAGGCCAAGGGGTTGGGTGGGATGGTTGACATCAGGGAAGTTAAAGGAAGCTTCTTGAGGTGCCCACCTTAATCACTTACTTGGCTCGGCTGCCGGGCACCACCAGTAGCCCGTGTATCTGTCAAACTCCTCCTGTAGCACAAAGGTAGCGACGCCAGCTGACTTGGGGTCCTCTTCCACGTTGGCATGTTCTGTTGCAGGCAACATACAAGGCCAAAGAATGAAACTAATCAGGGACAAGAAAATAAACCATGGTTTGGTCTAATCAATTCCCCTTAATAATTCTGTAGATATCTGGCTTTGCTAGGGGAGACTGGTTTACCCACTACGCTAACCCCAAATATCATTTGTTTTTGCAAAGCCAGTCAACTCTACTTTATTCAATAAACCATCATTCAAACAAACCACGGATCAGCCAGCATCACCTTTATGTACAAAGGTTAACCTCTGCTCTTCTTTGGTTGCCAGATTGGAGATCCAGATGTCGTTGCTATGAATAAAAGCAATCCAGTTGGGGTCTGCAGGGCAGATCTTTGGATCCATCCGAATATTTGGGCAACTGGTCTCAACCAGATTGGGCTGCAAAGGCTGTTGCTGTAATGGTAAAAGAACATGGAAATGGCTCTTTCGAACCATGTACTTGCTTCGCCAGGATCACTGTGGGAAATAAGAGCAGTTCAGGATGAACATTAAACAGGAGGGGCCAGCATCTGACACCTGCAGGAGACTGGAAAACGTAAACCATTCTGTGAAAATAAAGGCCCTTCATGTAGACGTCAAGACCACTTGTGAAAATGTTCCATTAAAACAAATAAAAACGGGAACAAAACAAAAACATTTCGCTGCCAATTTTGATCTACCCAGAATCATGTTTGAGAAGGCATATATCAATGCTCACAAAAACATGGGTCCTTTCATAACAACAGGCCCGGAGTAAGCTCAACCAACAACTGGAGAGAAGGAATTCAGAGCTTGTAGCCAGTTTGATCTAATGGTGAAGGCACCGGGTTAGAAACTGGGAGACCGTGAATTGTAATTCTGACTAGGCATAAAGGCTCAGTGGGTGACATTGGGTCAATCACCAGGAGATGGTGAGTTCTAGTTTCACCTTAGACATGAAAGTCAACTGGGCGACAT